GGCTGGATTCTCAATTCTGTTCCATTGGTCTATGTATCTGTTGTTGTACCAGTACCAGGCTGTTTTGACTACCGTGGCAGTATAATAAGTTCTAAAATCAGGTACTGTGAGGCCTCCCACTTTGTTCTTCTTCTTTAGTAATGCTTTACTTATCTGTGGCCTCTTCCCTTTCCATATCAGTTTGGTGATTTGTTTCTCCATCTCATTAAAAAATACTGTTTCAATTTGGATCGGGATTGCATTGTATCTGTAGATTGCTTTGGGTAGAATTGACATTTTCACAATATTGAGTCTTCCTATCCTTGAGCAAGGTATGTTTTTCCAATTATGTAGGTCTCTTTTGGTTTATTGCAGTAGTGTCTTGTATTTTTCATTGTATAGCTCTTTTACGTCTCTGGTTAGATTTTTTCCTAAGTATTTTATCTTCTTGGGGGTATTGTAATTGGTATTGATTTGGTAATTTCTTCTTCCAAGTTCTCTTTGTTTGTGTAGAGGAATCGAACTGATTTTTGTATGTTTATCTTGTGTCCTGATACTTTGCTGAAATCTTCTATTAGTTCCAGTAGTTTTCTTGTGGATTCTTTGCGGACTTCTGTGTCTAAGATCATATCTGCAAATAGAGATACTTCTTCCCTACCAATTTGGATACTCTTTATTTCTTTTTCTAACCTAATTGCTCTGGCTAGGACCTCCAGCACAATGTTGACTAGAGTGGTGACAAAGGGCATCCTTGTCTGGTTCCCGTTCTCAGGGGGAGTGCTTTCAAACTCTCTCCATTTAGGATGATGTTGGCGGTTGGCTTTGTATAAATGCCTTTAATTATGTTGAGGAATTTCACTTCTATTCCTATTTTGTTGAGAATTTTTATCATGCATGGGTGTTGGACTTTGTCAAATGCCTTTTCTGCATGGATTGATAAGATAATGTGGTTCTTGTCTTTTGTTTTATTAATGTGATGGATTACATTGATTGTTTTCCTAATTTTGAACCATCCCTGCATAACTGGTGTCAATCCCACTTGATCATGGTGAATTATTTTTTTGATTTGTTGCTGAATTCTATTGGCAGGAATTTTGTTGAGGATTTTTGTGTCAATGTTCATGAGGAATATTGGTCTCTATTTTTTTTTTTTTTATGGTGTCTTTACCTGGTTTTTATATCAGGGTTATGCTGGCTTCATAGAATGAGTTTGGGAGTATTCCATCCTTTTCTATGCTCTGAAATACCTTTTGTAGTAGTGGTGTTAACTCTTCTCTGAAAGTTTGGTAGAATTCTCCAGTGAAACCTGGACTGGTAGTTCTTTCTACTGTCTAACCCCAGTCTTTCATGCTGCAGTTATACTCATCTCTTTTGGGTTTAGCTTTTGGAGGAGATAGAGAATATCAGGCACTAAAATCGTCCTTGTGGACTGCCTCTCTGACTCAGCTCTCTGTAAGCCTTTCCCAGCACACTCTTCCTGCTCAGGTGACTCTGCTGCCAGGTCTCAATTGTGAGTACCACTCATGGTTCATGCCAGGTCTCCACTGGTGTGTACCCAGGGGATTGCTAACTAGTCTTATTACTGCCAGCCATGCATAAGCAAGAAGATGAGCCAGCTGTCCTGAAATGTTACAATACATAATAGAGCTAAATAGAATCTTCACTTAGCTGTGAGTTTGGCTTGCCTGTTCCATTTTCCTCGTTGGCACAAAACTGATTCTGTATCAGGCTCTTCCTCTTAAGTGTTCCACCCATGTCTTCCTCTTGACAGTTTTTTTAGTACTCAGTCATACTTGCTAATTGATGCATGTCCCTTTTAAATCATGAAAAGAGAACAAAGTAGACTATTTGCCATTAAGTCAGCTCTGACTTGTGGTGACCCCATGTGTGTCAGAGTAGAACTGTGCACCATAGGGCTTTCAGTGACTGATTTTTCAGAAGTATATTGCCAGGCCTTTCTTCTGAGTGCCTCTCGGTGGACTCAAACCTCCAACGTTTTGGTTTGCAGCCAAGCATGTTAGCCATCTGCACCACCCAGGGATTCTGATCAATCATACTTGCTAACTGATCCATGTGCCTTTTCAGGTCATGAAAAGAGAGGAAAGTAGAGGAAGGTACTTTGTAACCAGTTCCCTGAGTGAGTAGGACTTTGAGATGGGATAGGAGGGTAGGAGAGCCATAGGGTGGGGGACCCTTGCCTGGGAAAGTAATGGTGTCACTGCTTTTTGCTCGGGGGCAGCTGAGAACCACACATCCCTGGCTTCTTGGGCCTGGGGTGGCCTGGCGCCCTGAGGGTACCTCTGGCCACTGAGAAAGCAGAGCCAATGCTCAGTCAGGGCCCAGATTGGCTCATCTTATAGTTTAGACCCGCCTCCCAGTAGAAGAGAGGGAAAGAGGTGGAGGAGAGCAGTGTATGGGGCCTTCCAGCAGACCAGATCCCTGATGACCCAGCAGGGTTAGTGGCCAGGGCACTGCTGCTTATCACTCTTCTCATCTCCCCACATCCTATTAAGGGTTCCCAGCCCCTCCACTGGCCACTAGGCCTGAGCTCTGGTCTAGGGAGTCATCTTGTCCTGTACTTTGGCCTTGACTCAGGAGGAGTCCCCTGGGTAGAAGAGAGGCTAGGAGTAGAGTTTGAATCCTGCTTAGGCCGCGGAACAAGCTGAAAGCCCTAGAAGCACCATTCTGCTATCCTTCTCAGTCCCCCTCCAGGGACCTAGGGAGAACCAGCTCTGCTTGCCTTTTTCCAGTGAGAGTGGAGCCCCAAATGCTGTCCAGTAACTCGGCTTCAGGAATTTCTCCAACCTGTGCTGGGGAAACCCTACCAGGTGACTGCCAGTTTCCTGGCTCTGTGTCTCCCAGAGTCCCTGTGTCCCTCTGGCTGTGTCGGGTCCATGACAGGTGCAGGGGGTGGTGCCACTGACCCCCTCTACTCTATTTCCAGGCATCTCACTTCTTCTGGGCCCTCTGGGCCCTCATCCAGAACCAATACTCTACCATCGACTTTGATTTCCTCAGGTGAGTTCAGGGAGCAAGTGGGATGAGGGGGCAAACGACAAACAAATGGAACCCACAGAGTCCATTCTGCTGATTTCATTCCACTCCAGCCCACCTGCTTCCAGTGTGCTCACTGCTCTGTGGGAGACCCGGGGACATAGGAGAGCCAAAGGCACCACTCTGGAAGTAGAGTCAGAGCTCTAACTCCGTCCCCTCCTCCATCTACTGCCTAGTAGGACATTCCACCATTTCTGTTACACCCCATTCCCAACTCCACTGCCCCTACCCCTTGTCCATAGCACCTGGTGGTGAGTGGAGGTACTGAGAATGAGTCTGAAAGATCATGAATCCAACCCTCATTTTACAGCAGAGCAGACAGAATTCCAGAGCGTGCAAGTGACAGGGGAAGTCCCTAGGGAGTCCAGTGGTTACCATGCCATGTCCCTGCATGGGGTTTCAGACCAGATACTCCTTCAGGGGCTCCTAGTGATACAGTAGGGATGATACCTGACCTGAGCTTGAAGTTGGCAGCTCCCCAGTATTGACCACTTTGGGGCCCTGTCATATGAGGTACATGGATCTCTAAGGGCTGAGAATCGCTTCTTCCTACATTCTGATCCAGTCCTCTCACCTTTCTCCTCCCCACCCACCCTCAGCTGAAAAGGAGTCACTGCCTTGGCTCAAAAATTTTCCCAACCAAGTCTAAGGGACGTGGCTGGCTCTTGCAGGGACACTGGGGGTGAGTGACCTGCTAGTTCCTAGGGTTCTAGAAAACCCTCTCAGTTGCCACCTGTCTTACATCAGCCTGGGCTGGGGTTGACCTTCCCAGACCTGCCCAGGCCACCTCAGCCTTGATGGGCTTAGAGCTGGTGACAGATATTCCTCATGATGTGAGTACTCCCAGCGGGGCCCCTCCCTTCCCTTCTCACACCCAGCTGCCTTCCCTGTCTTCCGGCAGGTACGCAGTGATCCGATTCAACCAGTACTTCAAGGTGAAGCCTCAGGTGTCGGCCTTGGAGATGCCAAAGTGACCAGCTTCGCCCAGCCCTCCCCTACCCATCTGCCTGGCCAGATCTATTCTCCAGGGCTTGGTTCTGCTCTGGGGGCTGCACCCTTGGACAAGGTGGGAGAGGGGACAGGTGGGTCCAGGGAGAAGGCTCCACCCCTGCTGCCAGCCCCCCAGCAAATGCCACTCTAGACCTCATTCTCCTGTTTGGAGGGGCTGACAGGACCCAACTCTGGGTGTCCCCTCCATCTCCCCAGGCTTGGGGGGAAGTGCCTACAGATAGCCAGAGGCCACCAGCGCCAGGGACCAGACCATACCACCCCTGGGAACCACAACATTCCCAGCCCCAGACTGTGCTGGAAGCTGGGCTGCCTTCAATGTGTCTTTGACCTTCCTGGCTTGGGGCAGGGGGAAGGTGGGAGTGCTCCTTTCTACCTCCAGTGCTCAAGCCTCCAGCCCATCCCCACTGCATGCCCCGTGTGGGAGGTGCTGTGCCCCAAACCAGTGTCATGCCGACTAACAGATTGGTGTATATAACTCGAGGGGGTCTAGAACTGGGCACGACGGTGCCCCTGGCAGCCATCTTACCTGGACCCTTTGCTTTCTCCAAGCTGGATCCAGTCCCACGACCCCTCCCCAGACCTCAGCCTGAGGAAACACCCTCCCCCACAGTATCCTTTCTGTTCCTGTGCTTGTCTGTCCCTCTGTAGCCTGCTGGGAGGGGAGGAAAGGGGGATGGAGAGTCCGGTGCCAAGGGTGGGGACCAGGCTGGGAGCCAGCAGCCTCCTGCCTCATTCCCTCCCCTTCCCAGGCCCTCGCTGACAAGGGTCTGCTTCTCCAGCTTCAACTTCTATCCTGAAGTTGACCCCAGGTCTTCCCACTGTGGAATGACTAGTGGGAGTCCAGGGGCAGGGGGCTAGGGAGCCCCAGGCTTCAGCACGTGAGCGCCTGCATAGGGCTGGGACCCTGAAGGTGCTGAGCTGGTCGCCCCTTGTCACACCGCCTCCTTTCTGCCCTCACCGCTCCTCCTGGGGCCCTCCTGGCTCTGGCCTAGAAAGTGACTCATTTGTAAATTATCATGGTTTTCTGCATTAAAATGGCCATTTCTGGAACTGCTCTTTGAGTGACCATGGGGAGGATTGATTTGATGGGGAGAGAAGGGTGTTCTCCCCCTCTAGGGTCTGATGCCTCCCTAGACCAGGGAACTTAGGTGTGCTCCAGCCCCTCTTCCCTGGCGTCCCCTTGGGCTTCTTTGCTGTACGCTAGAGAAGTCAGGGTAAGAGTCGAGCCCACACCTCAGAGGTGGAGCTTCTCTGCCCTTGACCATCTGCTAGTTAAACCTGGTAGAGTATTGATAGAGGGAGCTAGGTTGTGGGTAGCAAGGAGAACTTGGACGTACTAAGGTCATGAACCACTGAAATCCTGAATCAAAGTGCTCAGGACTTCCTGTTGGTCACCTCGCTCCCAGCTCCTGGGGATGGGAAAAGGGGGGCTGCTCTGCCTGACAACAGGCAAGGGTGGTTTCCGGAACTGGCACTTTCTTAGAAGGCCAGAGGGAGGGGAGAGCAGAAATGCAAAGATGTTGCAGCCCCGGTTGCTACAGCTGCACTCGCGGGGCTGGGCGCCAGCAGAACTCGCCAGAATGTGCCCAGCACCCTTAGAGGCAGCAATGGCGGCAGCAGCCACCACCTGCCAGGTAGACTCTGGCTGCTGGCTTTGCCTGCAAAAGTACTAGGTGCCATGGCAACGGGTGGAGTTGGCAGCAGCCTCTGGGCCTTCTGAAAGGTCATGGGGAACGCATGTGGCTGGGCCCCCATGAGGCAGTAATGGAGCCTTGAGGGATGCTGCAGTGGAAGGCACAGGGGAAAGATGTGCCCAGGCCAAGGGATGGTTCCAAGGCTGGGCAGGTAGGTCCACCCAGGGTCATCATGGGGTCAGGTGGTCGTGTCCACAGCCTTCCTGTGGACTGAATAGCAGCGTCTACCCTCCTTGTTCCTCTCAGAGCCACCTCTGGAGCTGAGGGGCGGAAGTAACCAGTGTGAAGTGAGCTTTGTTTCTAGCCTCCTGGGGCCTCGCTGTGGCAGCATGGGACATAGTGCTGCAGTGGTGAGAGAAGGGCCCTGGGCACCGTCCTGTGCTTCCGAGGCCCCAGCCACCACCTGCACCCAGGGGGTCACCAGCAGACACCATCCTGCTGTCTTTGAGAAAATACTCTCATTGTTCAATCCTCCAGGGGCGTGAGGGTGTGGAGGGTTTAGGTATACCACCTCCCCGACAAAGTCTCGGAGTGCCCATCTTCTTTCCTTTCCCTGCCGCCCAGACGAACCAACACCCTGCCTGCTGGTCCAGCACACCAGGTCTTGGAGGCCCCATGTGTGCCTGGGCCTAGGCTCTGAGCAGGAGCTCAGACAGAGGACTCGTGTGCAGAGGTTCATCTTCCTGATGGGTCTGACCCTCGGCCTCTGCGGGAGAGGCCCAAGAGTAAGCTGGTGCCCCAGCCTTCCTGATAGTGATGAGGATGCTCTGTTCCTGGCCTCTGCAATCCACCTGACCCCATCCTGCCTCTTCTGGGGCAGGGGCTAGGGCTCCAGGGCACCAACCACAAGGTCTCATAGGGCACTTTCCCCATCTTCAGGGGACACAGGGTGTCTATGTCTGTCTCCGCACCTGGAATGAGGGCTGGGCAAGGGATCTGGGAAGAGGCAAGCATTAGCCTCAGGCCCACCTGAGACTACAGAGGACCTGGGAATAGGATGTAAGGGTGAGCCACAGTAGGAGTCCTGAGGAGCCTGCCTGGATTTGGCTCGTAACCCAGTGAGGGATGGTGGGGGGTGAGGGGCGGGGACAGAAGTTGAGACATGCAACTCTCCCACATGACCACTAGAGGGCAGGCGCCGCAGGCAGCCAAGCTCTCTCCACTGCCAACATCTTTTCCACAAGGGGCCAGGGCAGTTGGGCTCCACTGCTTGCCCCTGCATAAGGATGGCAGGGGGACATGGGGTGGAAAGGGCAAAGGAGAGGAGCCACAACGCTCTGGAAAAACCAAGCCGCTAAAGTCCAGCAGCCATTACATTCCCTAGATCAGGCCAGAACCCTAATTCTTGGGGAGTTTTCACTCCTACCCCCTACAAAGCTTGTGGCTCAACTAACACCTACCTTTCCCCTCACCACCCTCTCCAATTTAGAAATTTCTTCTCCAGTATTCAGGAGCCTTTGCTTGAATAGTTCTTGTGTCGGGAAGTTCGCTACCACATCTTTGTTGAAAAGCTTTTCTTTATGTTAAGCCAATATATTGATCATCAAGAATTTCATCTAAGAGCCCAAGTTCTACCTCATGAGCTACACTGTCTACACCCTTGCCCATCTAGCAGCTTTGATGAAAGTAATCTTGCCCCTTCTGCCCTATCCTAGTCTCCTCTTTCTTAGACTGAGCATCCCGAGTGCTTTTGACCACACCTCTAAGGGCATGTCCACCAGAGCCCTTCCGTTTGACAATGGCCTTTTCCAGAGAGGGCGCTAGAACCAGCCTGACACACCTAGGCCCGGGCCTGTGTGGTGCCCATCACCTCCCTTGTTGAGGACACACACCTCTCTTAAATCTAGCTCCAGACTGGATCACTCCTGTTAGCAAGTCCAGCCGTTTCCCAAGAACTGCCATCCAGCTTTGCTGCCCCCATTCCATACTAGTGGGATTACTTTTTTACCCAAAGAGTCGGTCTTTTTACCCATCCTTGTTAATATGCATTTTGAGAATTTCCGTCTCTCATCAGCACTGCTCTTTCTCCTAGTGTGATAAGCAGGGTTTTGAGTCCTCATTCAAAACATAGGGTATAGGGAGAGCCCTGAAGCATCTCATTAGTGACCCTGGTTGACTCATCAGCATGAGGGTGGGGGTGACATAAATGAATGGGCTTCGGGGGTGTGCCCAGGAGACTTTTTCTGGGATGAAGTCCCACAGCTTTCATTATAGTGTCAAAGGGCTTCTCCAAAAGAGCCATGGATAACGATTGTTTTCAGATGAGGACATTGAGGCCTAGAGGGAGACCTGCCTGCCTCAAGGCCAGGTGACTAGTTTGGGCAGCACCTAAGCTTCTGGATTCCTTTTACGACGTCTTAGCGGCCCTCTTCCTCATGACCTGGGTGGGCACTTGTGGTGAGGTCGGCTCACCTGCTCGAGGCAGGGGCAGTGTCTTACGCATTTGGCGTAAGCTGTCTGGGTCGAGGCCACTCCCCAGGCTCGGCCTCCCTCTCCTAGGCCCGTTCCTTCCAGGCCCCACACCTGAAGCTCCTGCGAGCTGCCACCAGGGGGCAGTGGTGCCTGGGCTAGCAGTACATTTAGGAATTCTGGGTTAAGGCCAGCCTCGCCCCACCTCCCCCGCGCAAAGGCCAGATTCTGAAATGGTCTGTCTTTATTATGCCAACAGAACACAAAACATCCCCGCCCCCCAAGTGTAAACAGGAGAAATGTGCTGGTTAAGTTGCTCATCATTCTCTTATTATTAACAAAATAAAGCACTATCTATGTTTACAATTGTAAAAAAGAAACAGCCTGGAGAAAAGTGGGGGCTTGGAGGAGTTGCTGGGGTCGCAAGGGGAGGGGAGAAGATGGGGCGCAGGCACAGGCTCCACATCTGCCCCTGTGGAATGTGGGGTTCCTTTCCCCCGACACCAGGGCTGTTACAGATCTTTGGAGTCAGGCTCCAATGGGACTTCATTTTCTTAGGGAAGTAACTTTGGAACCGATCAGGAGCAGACACCTTTCCCAGTGTGGAGTGGGAGGAGGGTGGGGAGAGGATGGGGGGCTGGGTGGGGCAGGAGTGGCTGGGGATGAGGGAGGAAGTCTAAGTCCTCTCCTCACCAACCCCCTCCCAGGAATGGGAGACCCCACCCCCACCCCACGAGGATGGAATGGAGGCCAGCTGCCACCAAGATCCCTGCTCTCCAGGCCATACGTCACCGACAGGAAGGGGGCACCATCAATCTTCCTGCCCCCACTCCTGGGCCTCACATTGGGACCAGGGGCTGGGGCACCAGGCAAAGCCCCTTGGAGGCTGAAACATGTTCCCATGCTGCTCAGAGCTAAAAATGGCTCTGTGGGAACGGACTGGCAGAGGCGGGGAGGGAGCGAAGGGGGCAGGAGGTCAGGGAGGCTGACGGGGGACCTGCAGGGACCCAGAGACTCCAGAGGGCATCAAAGGGGCAGGGAGAGAGACCCAGACAGAAGAGAGAAAAGAGAGGGCCCTGCAGACAGACAGGACAGAGAGATGCACCCAAGGACACACAGAACCTGAGACACCTAGACTGACAAAGAGGTAGCAATTTGGGGACACAAAGAAGCACAGGAGGAGGCCCCCAGAGAAGAGTGGCATCGAGAGACACACCCACAGGAACTCAGCAAC